TATAGAGAGAGAGAGAGAGAGAGAGAGAGAGAGAGAGAGAACTGAATCACTGTGCTGTACACCTGAAACTAACATGACATTGTAAATGAACTATACTTCAATTAAAAAAAACCTAAAAAACAGAAAATAAAAACAAAATAAAAACAAAATAAAAAAGAGGAAAAAGTATCTAAAAATGAAATTAAAAATTGCTTATACTAATCCCACTTGGCTTGTATGTTTAAGAGAAGTAGGAAGATAAAATGCTTCTTTAGAGAGATTCGGCGCTGATGTGTAAGCAAGTTCATTAGGGTAAATATCCATACAGGGGCATGGAACTCTTTAGAATGAGAACTAGGCCAGGAAGGGGAGGATTCTGGAAACTATGTAGCTATGATGATATTCCTGTGAAGGTAGTGCTAGTTGGGCAGGTTGGAAGAAACAGATTCACGTGCATACAGGATGTGAGGGGAGGAGGCAGCTAGTATTGCTGGGGACCAGTCAGAGCTATCTTGGTGAGTAGAATACGTAAATTAGAGTGTTGTCCAAATACTGACTTCTCAGCATCTAGTAAGTCCTGAAAAATAATGTTCATAGAATACAAACAGGAGTAACCAGGGGTAAATGGCATACTGTATGCGTATAGTCGGTTAGATTTTATTTTTAAATTATCTTTCCCTTGATTCTTTTCCAGATATGGATCAACTCATAAACAACTTGGAGGTCCAACTTAATTCAGAAGGTGGCTCAAAGCATATATTCAAACAGGTCAGTTATCAAGAAAATGAGATACTAATATTGAGCCATAATAGTGTTGAGTATCTGGTAATTGTCATAGAGCTGAAGCTCATTTTTCTTTCTAACAACATGTTGGGAGCTGAGAAGGGGTGAATGAAGGGAGGTTTCCAGGAGGTACCTGGATGCCTGGGTTTCTGATTCAAATAGGGAGTAAATCTGGCATAAAAGAAGCATAGCCTTTGGGATCAAGGCTATAGGGACAAGATTAGACACTTCATAGACAACAGCAGTCATTTATCTAGCACTAGTTCATATTTGGGGCACTCTGAAGACTCAATGCAATGTATTATTTAATCCTCACAATAACTGTTGGGTAGTGTGTTAGTCAGGAATCTCCAGATAAACAGAACCACCAGAATGTGTATTTCTCAATTTCTCTCTATCTATAGATATACATAAAATATGTATCTATCTATATCTATCTACTGTATCTATATCTATCTGTCTATATATATATTATATAAATATATATCTTTACATATAAAATAAAAATATATTTATATCTATAGATCTATCCAAATATATCTATATCTATCTACCTATCTATAGAGAAAGAATGTTTAAATATTTTATTGAAGTATAGTTGATTTACAATGCTGTATTAATTTCTACTGTACAGCATAGTGATTCAGTCATACGTATATATATATACATTCTTTTTCATATTCTTTTCCATTATGGTTTATCACAGGATACTGAATATAGTTCCCTGTGCTATACAGTCTTTGTTGTTTATTCCTTCTATAAATAATAGTTTCCATCTGCTAATCCCAAACTCCCAATCCATCCCTCCCCCACCCTCTCCCCCTTAGCAACCACAAGTCTGTTCTCTATGTCCCGGATATATGCCCAGGAGTGGGATTGCAGGATCATATGGCAACTCTATTTTCAGTTTTTTTGAGGAACCTCCATACTGTTTTCCATAGTGACTGCATCAGTTTACACTCCCACCAACAATGTAGGAGGGTTCCCTTTTCTCCACACCCCAGAGAGAGAAAGATTTTAAGAAATTGGCTCACATGATTATGGAATCCTAGTGTATCCAAAATCTGATGGGGTAAGCTGCCGAGCTGGAGAGCCATAGAAGTTTTACTGTTCTAGTCCAAAGGCAGACTGTTGGAAGAATTTGTTCTTCCTTGGAGATCAGTCTTTGTTTATTGAAGCCTTCAAGTGATTGGATAAGGCCAACCCACATTATGGAGGGTAATCTGCTTTATTCAAAATTCAATGATTTAAACGTTAATCTCACCCAAAAAAACTTCTTCACAGAAACATTCAGAATAATGTTTGACCAAATATCTGGGCACCTGGCCCAGCCAAGTTGACACATAAAATTAACATCACAGATATGTATTCTTAATGTTCCCATTTTACAGATAAGAAAGTTGTGACCTTGGGCATTCCCGAACAAGGATTCAAAACAGATTATCTGGTTTTTACAGCTAAGCACTCTGTGTTAGATGTTGAAGTCCCATCTTGCTCAGGGTTGAGTTCTAATGTCATTGCATAAGTGAAAACCAAATACAGTCAAAATTATCCTTGAAAATCCCTTAAATTGCCTGTAAAATTGAGCATACAGTTTTGTGTATCCAGTACGGATCTGTTTCTTTACTTAAGTCACCAGATAAAGTATCTGGCTGACATTTAGGGGTCATATTTTAGAAAACAAAATGTTTTTAATCATTAAATGCTTTGCCTTTGGTGTACAATTGAATTTGTTTGTTACATGTGCTTATAGATGAGATGCCCTTATACTGTTTTAATGACATTAAATCCAATGTAATGTCTTATTTACCTTACTTGTAGCTGTTGCCATTTAGGAACTATTAGCACATCAAAAGTTGCTAATTATTGCAAAACTTCTGCTGGTTGCTGGTGCTTTGTTGTAGTAAATACTAAGAGGAAGCTGAGTATAAGTGTTAGATAAAAATCGATTAAACTTGTAATAAAAGAAATTCAGTGAAATGTTGTCAAGCATGCATAGCTATCTTAGTTTGAAATCTCAGTACACCTAAATACAATTTGAAAAATGTTTTTCCATGTGTTAAGTAGAGTAAGGTTCCAAAATTTGAGGTCACTTTGAAATTAGTGCAATGTATAGAAAATTCTGGATAGTAGATGATCTAAGCATTTTTTGTTTTGTTTCTTGCCGTTTCCAAGATATCTTGTTTTTAGTAAAGCTAGGGTACTTGTGGTACATGACCAGAAAACAGTAACCATGCCCCAGGCCCAGAGCTTGTGTTCTATAACAGTACAATGCTGGCAACATCTTAGTGGGCAGAAGCCTCCTAGTTTGGTTCATTACATGATTTGTTTATGTCATGAGGTAGGATTGGTGGATGGGTGTCTAGGTCAGTACACACATCCTGCTCTCACTTCTTTGAATTCCTACATCACCATACCATATAATGAATGAGTACTTGCTTGTCACCTGCCCTTTGTTTATGGTTTCTGATTATTTCCCAGAAGTAGGATTTCTTGGAGAAAATGTATGAGCATATATAAGGTTCACATTGTATCATACATATCTTCCCCCCTCCAACTTAATATTGTTAACATTTTGGCACATATTTTCACATAGTTGAATATATTCTCTCTCTTTCTCTGCCTCTCTCTGTGTGATTCTCTCCCTCTCTCTCTCTCTTTCTCACTTATTACCTTTGAAAGTAACTTACATCAAGAAACTTCAAGCCTAAATAATTCATCATGCATCACTTACAAATAATGACATTCTCCTACATAATTACATCAATACTAATACACCCAGGAAAATTAACAATGTTTCTATATTACATAAATGGGTCATTCATTTCTCAATGGTTCTCAGTGACACATTTTCCCATACCATTCTTTCTTTCTGGAATGTGTTTCATTCAGCCTGTTTAATTTACCAAATCCCACACTTTCTGTAGGACCCAAATTCTAATTTCATCTCTTCCATAAAAAAACTTTCATTGATAACCCCAACTCTCACTAATCTCTAGTGCCCTGAACTCCTGGAATGCTAAATTATCTGTATCAGTCACTCATGTGGCTCTGCTTATTACTTGTTTTCTAATTGTCAAGAGCTTCATGTAAATATCTCATTTACACAGTGATAGTCTTTGTCTCCCAAACTTCAATTACTTGTGTACCACTTTCACAATTTCTGCCATATCCTTATCATCAATATTATTTAATTACTTAAAAAATTAGATCATTAAAATAATACCTATATTAGTTTTGTCCTAAGCAGTCTGGAGAATTTGGGGTTTGATGTGGGGTATTAGTTTCCTAGGGCTGCCACAACAAATTACTGCAAATTGGGTGGCTAAAAACAACAGAAATTTACAGTTCTAGAGGCCAGAGGTTCAAACTCAAGGTGTTTTGAGTGCCTCAAACCATCCCAAGGCTCTAGGAAAGAATCTGTTCCTTGCCTTTTCCACCTTCTGGTGGATGCAGGTGTTCTTTGACTTGTGGCTACAGCACTCCAATGTCTGCATGCTTCTTCATATTGATTTCTTCTCTGAGTTTCTATGTGTGTCTCCTCTGTGTGTCTTTTTTTTTACATCTTTATTGGAGTATAATTGTTTTACAATGGTGTGTTAGTTTCTGCTTTATAACAAAGTGAATCAGTTATACATATGTTCCCATATCTCTTCCCTCTTGCATCTCCCTCCTTCCCACCCTCCCTACCCCACCCCTCTAGGTGGTCACAAAGCACCGAGCTGATCTCCATGTGCTATGCAGCTGCTTCCCACTAGCTATCTATTTTACGTTTGGTAGTGTATATATGTCCATGCCACTCTCTCACTTTGTCACAGCTTACTCTTCCCCCTCCCCATATCCTCAAGTCCATTCTCTAATAGGTCTGTGTCTTTATTCCTGTCTTACCCCTAGGTTCTTCATGACAATTTTTTTTCTTAAATTCCACATATATGTTTTAGCATATGGTATTTGTCTTTCACTTTCTGACTTACTTCACTCTGTATGACAGACTCTAGGTCTATCCACCTCATTACAAATAGCTCAATTTCATTTCTTTTTATGGCTGAGTAATATTCCATTGTATATACATGCTACATCTTCTTTATCCATTCATCCATTGATGGACACTTAGGTTGTTTCCATCTCCTGGCTATTGTAAATAGAGCTGCAATGAACATTTTCGTACATGACTCTTTTTGAATTATGGTTTTCTCAGGGTATGTGCCCAGTAGTGGGATTGCTGGGTCATATGGTAGTTCTATTTGTAGTTGTGTCTTTTATAAGGATATTTGTTATTGAATTTAGGGCCTGCCCAAATAATCCAGGAGAATCCCCTAATCTGGGGATTGGGACATGAACATATCTTTTGGGGGAACACCATTCAGCCCACTACAATGTGTTATGTATATACTTTTTCTAATATGTAATAAATAAATATATAACTATTTAAATAAAATAATTTATCTATGCACCAACCAAAAACAATCTTAGATCCTCTGAGGAAGAAAAAATGTTTCATCTTATTATCAAATACCTAATACACATATGCATACATGCATACATATGTATATACCTACATATATGCGTTTCTGACCTCATTTTGCCTGGATGTAGCTGCTACTATGCTTGATACTTTTTCCCAGTCCCTTAGGATTGCCTACTTCATTAATTTGTACAAATTGATTAATTCTTTTGTCTTATAGTGCTTCATTTCCTGATGTTATTGTGATGGTGGGAAGTAAAATTTGAATTCCTCTAGGTTTAGATGAGGTCTAACTTTCTAATAATATCCAACTCCATCCACCTCTCCTTTCTCTAATACCCAAACACATGATGCCCTTATTGGAGAAGGACTGGAGATTCAGAGGGTTAAAGTGACTTTTTATTTAAACAATGAATGTGCACATATATGTGTATATTTGCATACATGTGTACCTGGGCATGAAAATGATTAGTGTAAACCCAGATTAAAGCTGGAAGAGACCTGTGTACAAGAGCAGCTT